TAAAGTTCACTAAAACATGGAGATCAGCTTTAATGTGAGCTTTGATTGTATTGCTTTTCTGCTGTCACACTCTAATTCATGAAAACACCCTCTAAGTGCAGAAAAAAAGAGAGAACATCCTTCTGCGCTTAAAATGGAGCCCTAACACTCAAGCTGCTGACACTAACCTCATACTCAATAGGTGAAGTGACTAATAATACAAAACAGTGTAGCGCTAAAGAAATACTAACCATAAATAAATAAATCCGAACTCCCTCAATACACACAGGGGGTAAAGAAATAGATTATATATATAAAATAAAAATAAAGTGCAACACGTGAATTCCCTATGGGAATAAACAAGTGCAGGTGTGAACAGTGTCATATAATACAATAGTGAATGACACACAAAACCCGCCAATATAAATCAATTACAATATAAAAAAACATACATAATCAAAAATGAGTCCACACAAGATGCATATAAATATCCAATAATAGTGCTCCAAAATAATTAACTCTCATGCAAGTGATGGTGTGTATTCACTCTCCATGTACAGTAAATCCTTAGTGGCCAGAGTGCCCCTCACCTCCTTACATCAACCCTGTAGGGTCAGTTCGCTCTGAGTAATACACCGATCTAGGTAGTAATAGGATTCCTCCCAGGCTCCTTTCAAGGTAATGAGCGTTCCAATCCTTCCATATAATGCACAGCAAAATACTCTCTCAGGATCATAAGTAAACAAGAAAATCCTCCATAGTGTAATCAGTTTAATAAATAATGTATATACATTACATAAAATGCCCACTCACATGCTCCTTCTCCTCTGATAAAGCTATATCATCTCATGCTAGAGGTGTACTGCATGGGTATCATAAACAGGTGTTCCAATATGGCCCCCACGCCGGAAGTGACGTCACCGCACACCCGGAAATGCCTCCTCGTGTACCGACGCGTTGCGTCATGCTGAACACGTGACTTCATAAGGGTAAACACCCATGGAGGCAGGGATCCATATATAAGTACCTGGCAACCAATCAGCAGCGGGAGGCGGTACTCCGGCGGCCATTATATGGAAGACCGCTCCCTCGGTTACCAGATAACAAACATACTACTGCGGTGACACTTTATTAAATGAAAAAACAGATGGAAAGAAAAAGGAGATGGAAAAAAAACGGGTCCACACTGATGGAAAGGAATCATCAAAGACCACGTATACCCCACAATATCAATGATACCACTACTAAATACTAATACTGACAATCAATGCCAATTACTGCGCAAACATTAAGGGGCAATATGTCAAGAGACCTATGGCACAATAAGTAGGTCAAACATATAAAAATTTATAAAATATATATAAATACCAAACTGATCCGCCTCCATAAACATCATACATAAATATATATTAAAATTAAAAATGAAAAATATATTAAATTATATATATAATAAATCCCAATAACTAACCTTTATTAATATACAATAAACATATACCCCCTATATATTAACAACAAACCCACAGGACATCGCAACCCAAAAAAATTTAAGTAAAAATATAAAAAATAAAAAAGTAAAGAGAATACCCATGTAGACACCTATAACCTGAGTTTACAAAAAATAAAAATATGTAATATATACAATCAATAAATAAATATATAAATATACATACATAAAATACCTAAAATATAAAAAACAGATCACTATAAAAATATAACAATACAAATGCCAGATGATGCTCTAAATCAAATAATCAACAATCTATGCCTAAAAATCACTAATATAACAATTTAAATCAAAGTCCACGTTCAGGCCTCTAGGGACCTGCGTTCTCATGTCAAATATCTACCTGGACTCTGATTTACTCAGGGACCTTATCTTGTTGCTCCCTCTCCAGTGGCCTTTATACTTTTCAATGCCCCAAAAAAACGACGAGGGGTCCTGGGTATGATAAGCAGAAAAATGTCTGGGCACACTATACTTGGAAAAACAAAAGTAATATCTAAATGTGTCACGCTTCACAATATAAAAAATCAATGACAAACATATAACTAAAAGATGATATGATTGTGAAAAAAAACAACCATGTGCTTCAAACAGTGCAATTCTGTGCAAAAAAACCTAAATATAAAAATAAGTGCACAATCATAAATTGTTGTAAAGTCCACTTTGTGCTTCAAATCTTGCCAGTGCCAATAAATGTGCCGTGCAACACTACCGGTGCTAAAGAATAGGTGTACACTCACCTTACCAATTATCCAAACTAAGTGGCTAATATCGCTTTTGTTCCACAGGACTAAATGATGATTTCCATGCAGGGTGCTTTTTTCCACATTCAAATGGATGGGCTTGTATTACCACTTTTTTCCCACCAGGGGTCTCCCTCACTCCTTTCTATCCACACTGAGCCTTAGTGGATAGATGGGGCAAAGACTGTGTAATGCTTCCACCTCCCGGCAGTGGGGGATAACATGGAAAAGGAAGTGACAATAGTGCCTTATCCTTTTTAAAATTGATGCTTTTATTATAATGAAAAATCGCACTCACATATTCCAGTGCTAATATGAACAGTTGAGTTGTGCCCAGATCCTCGATTCGTATTTGCCGCTTCTCCACATCAGCGTCGTGACATCAGAGCCCCTCCCCTACGCGTTACGCCACAGGGTCACATGAACCTCCTTGCTGCAGTGCTGTTCCTGATTCCTTTCACATGTGTGGTTTGTCTGTGCTCACCTATATATATTATTTGATTTAGAGCATCATCTGGCATTTGTATTGTTATATTTTTATAGTGATCTGTTTTGTATATTTTAGGTATTTTATTTATGTATATTTATATATTTATTTATTGATTGTATATATTATATATTTTTATTTTTTTTGTAAACTCAGGTTATAGGTGTTTACATGGCTATTCTCTTTACTTTTTTATTTTTTTATATTTTTACTTGCATTTTTTTGGGTTGCGATGTCCTGTGGGTTTGTTTTTATTATATAGGGGGGTATATGTTTATTGTATATTAATAAAGGTTAGTTATTGGGATTTATTATAATATAATTTAATATATTGTTATTTTAAATTTTATTTTTAATTTTAATATATCGGTCTTCGATATAATGGCTACCGGAGTTCCGCCTCCTGTTGCTGATTAACCAATCAGGTTAAGCCAGGTACTTATATATGGAGTCCCTGCCTCCATGGGTGTTTACCCTTATGAAGTCACGTTTTCAGCATGACGCAACGCGTCGGTACGCGAGGAGGCATTTCCGGGTGTACGGTGACGTCACCTCCGGCGCCGGGGCCATATTGGAACACCTGTTTATGATACCCATGCAGTACACCTCTAGCATGAGGTGATATAGCTTTATCAGAGGAGAAGGAGCATGTGAGTGGGCATTTTATGTATTGTATATACATTATTTATTAAACTGATTATTACACTATGGAGGATTTTTTTGTTTACTTATTATCCGGAGAGAGTATTTTGCTGTGCATTATATGGAAGGATTGGAACGCTCATTACCTTGAAGGGAGCCTGGGAGGAATCCTATTACTACCCAGATTGGTGTATTACTCAGAGTGAGTTGACCCTACAGGGTTGATGTAAGGAGGTGAGGGGGCACTCTGGCCACTAAGGACTTACACGGAGTGAATACACACCATCACTTGCATGAGAGTTAATTATTTTGGAGCACTATTATTGGATATTTATATGCATCTTGTGTGGACTCATTTTTGATTATGTATGTTTTTTATTGTAATTGATTTATATTGGCGGGTTTTGTGTGTCATTCACTATTGTATTATATGACACTGTTCACACCTGCACTTGTTTATTCCCATAGGGAATTCACGTGTTGCACTTTATTTTTATTTTATATATAATCTATTTCTTTACCCCCTGTGTGTATTGAGGGAGTTCAGATTTTAATATTTATGGTTAGTATTTCTTTAGCGCTACACTGTTTTGTATATTTAGACCCTCTAAGTGCAGCCTACTATTAACATTATGGGGAGGTCATTTCATTTACCTGCTACATACTTCCCTGCTTTACATAAATGTTTTTTTGACATTTAGTATAAATGAAAATTATGCATAGCTTATAGTATATATAGCCAATAAATATGAACATGAGAGGATATGTATGGGTGTATATATTGGCCATTCTATGTCTGGGGTGGTGGTACTGGTGGTGATGGCGGTGGTGGTGGTGGTACTGGTGATGGCGGTGGCGGTGGTCGAGGGGCTCACAGTGCTGTTAAATCATATTTGTGGAAATATTCCACTTTTGCAAAGTAGGGTTGCCAGGATTCTCTTAAGTCAATATCTTGTTTGCTTTTCCTGTTCCTCAAGTATAACTTTATTCAGAGGACTGGCTTTCTTCTCTCACTGGGTTATTGATGGCTGGTGCAGTTGTCTTATCCAGTTGATATTCTGCTATACTTTCTGCTATACTTAATACTCACTTTCCATGGAGCATCCCAAAACTACTTAATCTCATTCATCCTCATTACCAATTTCAAGCAATAGATCCTCTTTTAAACAGGATGTTCTGCCATATATTTGAAAAAAGGCACAAGGCTTATATGCATGGACTATGTGTGGTAAATACTTTTTCCCCTGAGCTTTCTTTAACTCTCCTAAGATACAAAGCATTTGCAATAATGTTCTATTCAGTTTCTTTTAAGATGATATCGCTTTGTCCTAGAATATATTATGCCAGACAATTGTCCCAGTCTTCTGAAAAGCTGGTTTTCAAATTCTCTGCCCTGATCATGATGTCCTGATGTGGAAAGGAGAAGTTTAAGGAGGCGGAGTCAGTAAAGGAATCACAGCTTGCAGGCAGAAAGGTACCATGGTATATTGGTAATTTTAGTTAGGTCAACAGTAGAGATGAGCGAAGTATTCAAAAATTCGATTCGGCTGATTCGGCGAATTCGCGGAATAAATTTGATTCGAGTCGAATATATTCGCTGCAAATTTAACTTATAAAAAGGGTGTTTCTAGGCTTCAGAGAGCCTTTATATTAGTGCAGAACACTGTACCTTTAATTTAAATGCCCTTGGAGTCTGCTGGGGAAGAGAAATAATACTGTCAGTCAGTATGACATGCAGATGAGTGCCGTCGATCTTAGAATCACCGCACACTTCACTCATTTGGGCAGTCACGGGGCCAAAACCAGAGTGTGGAGCCACAGTGTGGCGGTGGAGGCAGCAGCAATGGGAGGCCATACAGCACCCTATGACAAAATGGAATCCACCAGCAGTGTGAGGAGACCTGAAAGTGGCACATGGCAGAGTGTGGCGATGGAGACAGCAGCAATGGGAGGCCGTACAGGGACCCATGAGGACACACTCTGGACCTGGCAGCAGCATGAGGAGGCGGTACGGGGGCCCATGGCAGATTACGGGCCTGGCAGCAGCAATGGGAGGCCCGTAATCTGCCAGCACCCTATGATAAAATGGAACCCACCAGCAGTGTGAGGAGACCTGAAAGTGGCACATGGCAGAGTGTGGCAATGGAGATAGCAGCAATGGGAGGCCGTACAGGGACCCATGAGACACTCTGGACCTGGCAGCAGCATGAGGAGGCGGTACGGGGGCCCATGGCAGATTACGGGCCTGGCAGCAGCAATGGGAGGCCCGTAATCTGCCAGCACCCTATAACAAAATGGAACCCACCAGCAGTGTGAGGAGACCTGAAAGTGGCACATGGCAGAGTGTGGCGATGGAGACAGCAGCAATGGGAGGCCATACAGGGACCCATGAGACACTCTGGACCTGGCAGCAGCATGAGGAGGCGGTACGGGGGCCCATGGCAGATTACGGGCCTGGCAGCAGCAATGGGAGGCCCGTAATCTGCCAGCACCCTATGACAAAATGGAACCCACCAGCAGTGTGAGGAGACCTGAAAGTGGCACATGGCAGAGTGTGGCGATGGAGAGACAGCAGCAATGGGAGGCCGTACAGGGACCCATGAGACACTCTGGACCTGGCAGCAGCATGAGGAGGCGGTACGGGGGCCCATGGCAGATTACGGGCCTGGCAGCAGCAATGGGAGGCCCGTAATCTGCCAGCACCCTATGACAAAAATGGAACCCACCAGCAGTGTGAGGAGACCTGAAAGTGGCACATGGCAGAGTTTGGCGATGGAGACAGCAGCAATGGGAGGCCGTACAGGGACCCATGAGACACTCTGGACCTGGCAGCAGCATGAGGAGGCGGTACGGGGGCCCATGGCAGATTACGGGCCTGGCAGCAGCAATGGGAGGCCCGTAATCTGCCAGCACCCTATGACAAAATGGAACCCACCAGCAGTGTGAGGAGACCTGAAAGTGGCACATGGCAGAGTGTGGCGATGGAGACAGCAGCAATGGGAGGCCGTACAGGGACCCATGAGACACTCTGGACCTGGCAGCAGCATGAGGAGGCGGTACGGGGGCCATGGCAGATTACGGGCCTGGCAGCAGCAATGGGAGGCCCGTAATCTGCCAGCACCCTATGACAAAATGGAACCCACCAGCAGTGTGAGGAGACCTGAAAGTGGCACATGGCACAGTGTGGCGATGGAGACAGCAGCAATGGGAGGCCGTACAGGGACCCATGAGACACTCTGGACTTGGCAGCAGCATGAGGAGGCGGTACGGGGGCCCATGGCAGATTACGAGCCTGGCAGCAGCAATGGGAGGCCCGTAATCTGCCAGCACCCTATGACAAAATGGAACCCACCAGCAGTGTGAGGAGACCTGAAAGTGGCACATGGCAGAGTGTGGCGATGGAGACAGCAGCAATGGGAAGCCGTACAGGGACCCATGAGACACTCTGGACCTGGCAGCAGCATGAGGAGGCGGTACGGGGGCCCATGGCAGATTACGGGCCTGGCAGCAGCAATGGGAGGCCCGTAATCTGCCAGCACCCTATGACAAAATGGAACCCACCAGCAGTGTGAGGAGACCTGAAAGTGGCACATGGCAGAGTGTGGCGATGGAGACAGCAGCAATGGGAGGCCGTACAGGGACCCATGAGACACTCTGGACCTGGCAGCAGCATGAGGAGGCGGTACGGGGGCCCATGGCAGATTACGGGCCTGGCAGCAGCAATGGGAGGCCCGTAATCTGCCAGCACCCTATGACAAAATGGAACCCACCAGCAGTGTGAGGAGACCTGAAAGTGGCACATGGCAGAGTGTGGCGATGGAGACAGCAGCAATGGGGAGGCCGTACAGGGACCCATGAGACACTCTGGACCTGGCAGCAGCAAGAGGAGGCGGTACAGGGGCCCATGGCAGAGTGGCGAAGCGTAAGCAGCTTAAATTGAAGGCCATACAGAGGCCTATGTTAAAAATAATAACATGTTTGGGGCATGATTCATGGCGGATTTAGTCAGTTGTGTCAGGAACTGGTGGTTTGAAATCCAGACTAATCCACGCCTGATTCATTTTCACAAAGGTGAGTCTCTCCACACTTTGGGTGGACAGTCGTGTCCTCCGCGGAGTTACAATACCTCCTGCCGCACTAAACACGCGCTCCGATGCCACGCTACTGGCCGGGCATGACAGCCTTTCAAGGGCAAATTCAGCTAGTTGGGGCCAAAGGTCAAGTTTCGTTGCCCAGTAGTCAAGGGGATTGTCTACCTCGGTTGGCAGGGTGCTGTCCAAGTAGGCCCAAGCCTGTTGTTTGAGGTCCTGCTCCAGGTCCACCTGATGCTGCTGCTGCTGCTGCGTCTGGTTAGTAGTTTCCTCACTGCGCTGGTGAAGAAAGCTACTCATCATCGACTGCAGACTGAGGCAGCCGCTGCTGGTGGAGCTGCCACTGCTCCTACCACCCCACCCCTCCCCCTGCAGCGGAACGCGAGCGCACAGGGCCCACAGTGTCTGAGGATGGACGTTGGCGCAGAAAGGCAGAGACCAACTGACTACATAGGTGGTTTTTATAGTACGTTATTTTGGCCTCCTCTCAGCAGGTGTGAAAAAGGCCACCATTTTTGAACGGTAGCGAGGGTCCAACAAGGTGGACAGCCAAAAGTCATCCCTCTGTCTGATGGTTATTATTCGGCTGTCGCTACGCAAGCAAGCGAGCATGCTATGGGCCATTTGTGCCAAGGAATGCGAGGGACTCCCTGCCTCCATCTCCACAGCATACTGCCACGGTGCGTCTGGGTCCTCTGTCTCCTCCTCTCCTCCTCTACCAGATGCTCCTGCTCCTCCACTCCTGTCCGCTGAGTGGAAAAACCACCCATTTCACTCAATAATTCCTGAGCACCAATGTCCTCCTCTACCTCCTCCTCTTCTTCCTGTCCTGCCCCCACAGGGGTCATGTGGCGTTGAGATCTGTGCGCCACGTCTACCGCACCCTGACCAGCCATTGTTAACACCATTTGTTCCAGGACGTGCAACAGAGGAATGACGTCGTTCATCCCATAGTCCTGCCGACTCACGAATAGCGTGGCCTCCTCAAAGGGCCTGAGCAAGCGGCAGGTGTCACGCATGAGCTGCCAATGGCTGACATCTAAGTTACACAGGGGAGTACCTTTATCCGCTTGTAACATCAGGAAATCGGTGATGGCCTTTCGCTGTTCGTAAAGGCGGTCTAACATATGTAGGGTTGAATTCCACCTTGTTGCAACGTCGCAGATCAGGCGATGCTGTGGAATTCCGTTCTGCCGCTGCAGCTCAAGGAGGGTGTGCTTTGCGGTGTAGGAATGGCTGAAATGCATGCAAAGTTTACGTGACATTTTAAGGATGTCTTGCAGTGGGATGGTGGATTTTAGGAACCGCTTGACAACCAGATTGAACACGTGAGCCATGCATGGCACATGGCACAACCTTCCTTGACGCAGAGCAGACACCATGTTCTTTCCGTTGTCGGTCAACATGGTTCCGATTTTCAGTTTGCGCGGAGACAGCCATCTGTCGATTTCTCTGTTCATTACACTCAGAAGTTCCTCCCCTGTGTGACTACGTTCGCCAAGGCATACCAGGTGCAGCACAGCGTGACACCGTTGTGCCCTGCACATGTGATATGCCGGTCGGGTAATGGGACTTGGCACGGGGGGGTGGCGGCTGAGGACACGGCGGAAGAAGAGGTGGTAGAGGCGGACATCTTTTCTGGACCAAGGACGTGCAAACGTGGAGCCAAAAGCGGGCGTGACCTGTCCAAGTTGCTGGTGCGGCTGTGCCGCCACCACGTTGACCCAGTGGGCCGTAAATGACATGTACTGTCCCTGACCGTAGTTACAGCTCCACAAGTCGGCGCTGCCGTGCACTTTGGCAGAGACCGACATGCTCAAAGACTGGCCCACCATCTCTTCTACATGTGAATGCAGGGCTGGCACTGCCTTTTTGGCGAAGAAATGCCGGCTGGCACATCTCCACCGCGGCGCGGCACAAGCCATCATTTCTCGGAAAGGTGCTGAGTCCACCACTTGGAAAGGGAGGGACTGCAGCACCAGCAACTTGGACAGGAGGACGTTCAGCTTTTGCACCGTCGGGGTGCGTGCTCGCAAACTGTTGTCTCCCTTGGAAACGGATTCCAAGAAAGACTGCTGACGGAATCCGTGAAGAGGAGTAGCAGGAGAAGGAGCAATCTGAACGAGCGGAAGATGCCAACGAGCGACAACTCCCCTCAGCAGAGGTCTTGGAGCCTTGACTGGCTGATAGAGGGCGATTGACGTCGGGTGACGGAGCAAGTAACGGAGCGGGTGATGGAGCGGGGGGGCTGGGGCAGGCAGAACCGCCGTATCTTTATCACGGTTTTCCCAGGCCACCGAATGGCGACGCTGCATATGCTGACGCAACGCTGTAGTCCCAACATGGGCCCCCTGGCCACGCTTGACTTTCTGCCCACATAGTCGACATACGGCTACGATTACTTCCTTGGGCGGCTTGACGAAAAATTGCCCACACCGCCGAGTAGGAAACTTTGCCCCCCGCTACTCCTCACTGGCTGACTGCTACTTCCTCCGTGCACACCGGCACCACTACTGGCCGTGGTGGTAGGCTGCAGTGGAGCTGGTGCTCTACTCCGTGGCCGTTTGCCTCCACTGACACTGCTGCGGACCCTGCTGCCTCCTGGGCAACCCACCGACTATTTTGCTCGCTGCCAAGCTGGCACCCTCTTCTCCTGATGATGCGGAAGAAATAGCCTGATGACGACGAGGCTGCCAAGTGCGATCAGCCTCATCATCATCAATTAGGGTCTCCGCCTCAACTACTAGGCCCCTCGGCTGTGTGTGGGTCAGGAGACAGACCTGTCTCTAGACCGGCTACCGAGCCACTCTCCTCGCCACTACTTCTTCGCCTGGCTGCTGAAGAGGCGGATGTCTCTCCCCCGTTCCTGACCGCCCTCTGTTAGCTCTTCCTCACTGTACAGTGGGGCTGAGCCCACAGCATGCGATACTTCGCTTGGTGAGGGAACACCAAAGGACAGGGGCAGGTAGAGGACACGTGATTTCAGTGGGCTTGGTCCCCGGGCCATGCCAACTAACGGTTGTGTCTGACGTACCCACCGACCGTTGGCTGTAGGTGTCAGAGGTGACCTGGGAAGAGGAAAGACGGACCAAGCCAAACCAATCGATGACGGCAGGGTTGTCGGTGGATACACGACCGCTGGATGACACCGGGAGCACTGGCCTCTGGCTGCGACTAGTGCTGCCTCGACCCCTTTCCTCTGCTCCCACGTCTGCTCGCTCCTAAAACAATGGCCTCCTCTGACACTCCTCTGCGTGTTGTCTGACATACTCTTTAATTCAACGATTCTGTGTCCCTGAGTAACGATTCTGTGTCCCCTGAGTAACAGTTCTGTGTCCCTGAGTAACAA